CTTATTAAATTCTCATTTGGGTAATACAGAACATCTTTGAATCCCCCAATTACTGAAACCTTTATGAAGTGCCAAATGGATTGCACCCGTACCATTTCACTGCAAACTCTTTTTTTTTTTTTTAATGTTTATTCTTTTCTGAGGGAGAGAGAGCACAAGCAGGGGAAGAACAGAGAGAGAGGGAGACACAGAATCCAAAGCAGGCTCCAGGCTCTGATCTGTCAGCACAGAGCCCGACGTGGGGCTCTCACAGACTGTGAGATTGTGACCTGAGCCAAAGTTGGAAGCCTGACCAACTGAGCCACCCAGGTGCCCCTCAAACTCTGCTTTTGAGTCCCTGCAGGAGGTGGCTTTCTAAAAAGGATTTTGTTTACTGTTTATTTTTGAGGGAAAGTGACAGAGTGTGAGCGGGGGGGGGGGGGGGGGGGNNNNGGGGGGGGACAGAGACAGAAGGAGACACAGAATCTGAAGCAGGCTCCAGGCTCTGAACTGTCAGCACAGAGCCCGACATGGGGCTCGAACCCACAAACCATGAGAGCATGACGTGAGCTGAAGTCAGACACTTAACCGACTGAGCCACCCAGGTGCCCCAGCAGGAGGCGTTTCTTTTAAACAAGGCGTAGCCGCACCTGTCTGCCCGCTCACATGAACGGAGTGTATGGCACGTGCCCCATTCCCAGGGCACCCCATTTCCTCCTGTCCTTTCTATAAGCCTCATTTGTCTTATTTTACTTTGCCTTACTACATGGCATGCCTCTTTGTAAGCCAACAATTTTTACCAAAGGTAGAGCATAAATTCATTTTGTTTCTTTTTTTAAATTCATTTGGACGCCTTCTGTGAGGGCTCTAGTTACAAAAGCAGAGACTTTTGGGCTTATGAGAGAGAGTCCTCCCTTGTGCATTGGGAAAGCACAGAGCATCCTTAGGATTGCAGAATCCCTGCTGCGAGATGGGGCAGGGCACCTTGGTCTCCCACAGGATGGGAGTCCCCTGGGGACTTGCTGGTGTACTACATGCGTGAGTTCGAGGGCCACATCCCTCCTGGGAGGCCTGTGACAACTAGTGTCTACAGCTGATGGCTCACAGGACACTCGCTGCTATTCAGAAAAAGGAACGGGACCCTTGGGATGGGGGGTCTTTTATGGTGATCCAGAGAATATTGCAAAGCAATGTATGAGACAAATCAGAGAAAGAGCTTACATTTCTGTCTGAAGTCACATAAAAGTGGGCTTCTACCACGTCAGATTCTCTGTTAACGTGCGTTGGCTCCTATATCCTTTGAAGAGAGAGGATCATGTATAAAAGAGGAACCAGTTCAGTTGTTAGACGTTGAACCTTATTTGCATCCTTCACCAGAGTTTGGCAAAGTGATAAAATGAAGAAAATCGATCATAGTTGTAACTGGTGTTACCCTCACGGGTATCACCCCTCGCAGGTGCATCAGCATCCCAATCTGGGGAGGAGGAATCTGAGTCTCGGGACAGAAGCGCACTCGGCTTGTGTGTGTGTGTGTGTGTGTGTGCATGTGTGTGTGTGTGTGTGTGTGTGCATGCACGCGCAAGGGGGGGGGCGGCAGGCTGGGTCCAAATGCAAGCTCTGGATTCTTCCCAGGGAAGCCTGTCTCCCTTCAGCTATGGATCAAATAAACGACCCCTTAACAATTTCAGTACAAAGCGTTTTTTATTGACATTGTAAGAAACATTGTTCTTTCTTTTTGTTACAAAAGGACTAGGTGGTTCTGAAAGCGAAAGTAGAGTCCACGTGTGGCGGCCCGCAGCCCTGGGCCCGAGGTGGGCACGGGGGCATCACCGCACGGCTGCGGGCTGATCCGAGACAGCCCGGGCCGGCCACATCCGAACACTACGCCTACAATCCTTAAATGTATTTACAGGGGTTTTCTTTTAAAAAAGGATTACACATTTTATTTTATTTTTTTTAAATCTAAAAAAGGTGAAAAAAATGAACTTGTAATTTATTTTACACGTTTGCAGGATACACAACAGTAACTTGCCAGAAGAGAACGTCCTCCATCAGTTCAAAACAACACGGGAACCGGGTTACAAGACAGCTCAGACTCGGCTACAATCGTGTGCTTCGCGGCCGGCCAGGGAGCGCACAGCCCGGAGCCCCGATCCATCCACCGGGCGACACCAAATGGTCCCTCGCATCGACGAGATTAACATAAAATAAGGCACATACATCGCAAGAATCACAACCACGGCTCGAGAGGATGAGCCGAGATAGGAGGAGCAGGGTGCGGCCTCGTCAGCTCTCCAGAAGAAAGGGCACAAGATGGTTCACAAGTAAAACTATGGGGAACACAGATGTTCAACAGGAGGACCGGGTATGAGCCTGCACTGAAAGGTAGGATGTGAATGAATCGAGGCAGTTGCTGCTGTCTCCCTAAACGTGCGGGTCAGGAAAGCGGAGAGAAGGCTGGAGGCTGGGGGCGGGTCCTGTCCCAGGAAAGGCCAAGTCCACGGACTTCTATGTGGTCCCAACAGACTTCCTTCCACTGACTGGGCATCACTGCACTCTTGGAAAAGTATATTTTCTTCCTCCCTCCCCCCAACCCCCTTTCTGAGATTTCCATAGAGAGAAGCCAAATACGGACCAAGCAGGAATATCCCTTGCAAATCTAAGGGAAGAAGGAAGGAAACCAAAAATGAAAAGAAGAGGTGAAGGAAAACAGAGGCGCAAGGTGACAACGGCCCTCACTCAACTGCCGTCCCTCCTTCATGAAGGACAAGGGGGACGTAGGAAAGGTTGGTAACTGAGAAATGCAGGTCGCATCTGGGAACTTTACTTGGGGTGGGGGGGGGACTCTGATATAGAAGGAGGGCAGTGTGGGGGCCAGGGAGCCACCGTCCTCACTCAGGAGACTGGAGAAGGCCCAGGCCCCAAGCTTTGAAACAGGAAGGACGGGGTCAGACCAAACCACAAGACCAGACAAGAGAAGGTCTAGACCCGGAGATTCTGAGGTTGGTGGAAAAAGGAGATTCAGGGGATGGATCGCTGATTTTGTGACCGGATCATGACCTGTTTGAGGAACGCAGAGAAAGCCTGGCTCTTTTCTGTTGGAAGGTGGTAGACGCCCACTCCACTGAGCTCAGATCAGTAGCCGTCTTTTGCTTTCGGGCTCTGTTCCAAAGCGGATGCGTCCTTTGACCTGAAAGCAGGTGCTGCCTGTGAGAGGGAAGAGTCTCAACACCCCCTCTTGATTTCAGGAACATCCGATTGAAAGCAAACCCAACTTTCTTAGCCACGGAGTCCCAAAGGGCAAATTTACGCCGAGATTCTTGGTCCAAATGAGAGAACACAAACGTGAGGAAAACGGGCTGGGTTCTAACATTTTTTTTTCCCTATTTCCTATTATTTTATTTTACTTGACTTTGTCTAATACTAATTCAAATGGCAGGAATAAAGGGAAAAAGCCACACAACTGACTCATGAATCACTCTGGATAAATCCAACTGCAGGGTCAACGGGACAAAAAAGATCAGGTAGTCTGAGGTGTTAATATTTTATTATTAATAGTTTACATATTTTTAAATGTAAAATGCTGGATAATCCATGTACTCTGTACACACATAGTATGTCTTTTATGTGTATCGACTGCACATGGGAAGTAGCTGTACTGTTTTTAGTCTTTAAAATGTTTTAATCCAAAACAAAAGTACAATTAAGTCCACATTCAGGACTAACTGCATAGAACATTTAATATCTTAAATGGATGCACCGTTTCATAGACTGAGTGTAAGAAAAGGCATCCGTCCACACAGCTACTAAGCATCCTCCCAAGTGCTCTTAAATACTAACAATGGTTAAAGCGATTTATTCCAAATGTCATCGTATGTGAGCTTTTTCTTGTACAGCTAAGTTTTATAAATCCCTTAAAATAGGGAACTTGGAATAGAAATACTCCTTCGCTATAGTGGAATTAATATATGTGAATGACATAGCCGGCTGCCGGGTTGTTTAAATACCTATATACTTAGAACTATACATAATCAACTCGCAGTTACCTAGGACAACGGGTAACGAGGTGGGACTATCATCAACAAACACAGCAAACCCACAAATGCTCCCCAAACTATGTCTACCCAGTAGCTTCACTCTACAATCTACCTAACTTCTCGTCGGGACAGATGGAAGTAGCAGACCCGGGGCCCTTCCCTTCTCTCCCTGGAGCGCAGAACGGCACCGAACGGTTATAGGGACAGAAGGAGAAAAAACTGAGCATGTAGATGACCTGCCCTGAGCACGCTCACGGACAGGAGGATTCGAGAACTCCAAACCCCAACCGTGAGCAAACTAGTTCATCTGCCGCAGCCCCAAATTCCCGCTGTGTGCAACTGTCGAAAGCATGCCCTGACCTGAACCGGGATGGGGAGCAGGTGAAAAAAAATCGGTTATCTCTGCGACAGCACACCCACCGAAGACGCTTAAACCCACTATCCTTATTCTGATTCTTGTGCCCAGTGCGGGAGTTACCGCAAACAAAACCAAAACCAAACCAAAACAAAACACCCTCCAAACACCAAAAAGAAACATAGAGCGCGTGTAAGGGAAAATTTAAAAAGCTGGAAGCGTAACCCTTCGGTCAAAAAGCACACCAACTCCTGTTTCCTTTGAGCAACAGAGAAACACATCCAATCCTTTCGTGTGACCTCTCTTTGAAAAGAAATCGGAACATGCACATCGCACATTTACACTGGTTTACTAGAAAGGGGGACGGGGCTTACGGTTTAAAAAACAACAACACCAACAAAAAGGATGGTTTTAGTGTCACAATACTGATTCACAACTGAAATGGAAGACAGTTTCTCCCTAGAATACTTTAGGGTTGTTCAGAGTCCTTTTCCATAAAAGGAATATACTTGAAACACATCCCAGTTAGGTGAGATGAGATTGCTAAAATACATACAGAACTAAAAACAAAACAAAAAACAGCAAAAACAAAACAAAAAAAAACCCCAACGACAAAAAACTGAGTCCATTTAATCTTTTAAGCTCCTCAAGCTTCACGTTGGTTGGCAGCCATCTCCCCACACGCCCTACTGCATGACGGCGAGGAATTTGCTCTCTTCCGCGAGGGAGGTCAGCAAGGAGCTCATGTCTCCGATGGCCATGTTGGTGGTGCTCACAGACAGCGCGGGCAGCGGGAGGGACGCGCGCGGCGTCGTGAGGCGGGAGGAGGAGAGGGAGAGGTTCTGAATGATGCTGGGGCTCAGGGCTCCTGACATCAGGCTGGCGTGGTCCCCGTCGTCGATGATGGCGTCAAAATCAATCTGCACCCCTTCCAGCTCATGGCCGTCAAGGCCGTCGACCGTGCTGGTCACCTGGTTAGCACCCGGGGAAAGCAACTCAGAGTTTTCGGCGCTGGCCCCCTGCAGCAGGCAGCTGGCTTCCGAGATGGAGAAAGAACCAGTCTTCGGGTCGTGCTGACCGAAGCCAACGGGTTGGTCATAGAACTGACCAGAGTAACTCTGCAGGTTAGAGCACAGCTGATGGGGCTGCCCTTGCATCTCTGTCTTGATGCCGTTCACCTTGCAGGTCTGACTTGTGTCGCCAAGCGGTCCCTGCTGCAGAGAGAGGCTGGCCCTCGGCGCGGCCTGGCGCCGGCTGCCCCCAAAGCCGGCACACGGCAGGTAGCCCCTGGCGGCGGCCATGCCTGACGGCTGGCTGGCCATGCACGGAGGCCCCTGCAGGCCGCTCTCCGGCCCTTGATAGACGTGGAGGTGTGAGGTAGCACTAACCTGCCCTAGCATCTGCTGGCCGCCGCGGCCGGCCCCTTGGTGGTGCAAGCTGTCGCTGAGGAGCCGAGGGGCCAGGTACCCCTGCCCCACCAGGTCGTGGGCCGCCATGCCATTCGCCGTGGCGCTCGCAGACTCGCCAGGCGCCAGCGACGACAGGCCAAAATCCGGCTGGCTCCCGCTGCCCTGCAGCTTCACCGCTGGAACCGCAGCCCCACAGACGCCGCCCAGCAAGCCAGGGCCCCCCGGCTGCCTGTTGAGGCAGTGCCCGAACTGCGGGGCCTTACAGGGCTGCGCGTGGAAGGCGTTTCCCCCGTGCTCGGGGCCGCCGTACGGGCCGCCGGGCTCTGCCAGGGCCTGCGGCCCCCCGGCTGCGCCGGCCCCGCTCCTCAAGGGGTCCTGTGGGTGCGCGCCCAGGTTGCCGTAGAGCCCGAAGGCCCGCGGCTGCGGCGCCACGGCCCGCGGGCCACACTTGAGCTTGGAGGAGGAGCACAGGTCGGCGCTGCCGGAGCTGACTTCGTTCCACTGGATGGGCAGGTCGGGTTTGCCGGCTTCAGGGCAGGGCTGCTCCAGCCGGCGGCACGGCTGGCCCGCGAGGCCGTCGGGCAGCCCCGGGGGCGCCAAGTCCCCGGGCCCGGGGGGCCCTTTGCCGTCGTCGCAGACGGCGCTTTGGAAGTGCTGCTCGAATCCTGCGTGGTTCTGGGAATTTAAATACTGCACCACGTCGTCGGGCAGGAAATCCTCATCGTTCAAGTTCAAGTTCACGTCCGCGGTCAAGGACTCCAGCGTGACGTTCTCAGTGATGCTCGGAGGGCAGGGGGACGGCAGGAAGGGGCGCGCCGGGCCGCCCTCGGGCCGCGGGTAGTTCTGGGGCGCCAGGCCCCGCTTCTCCAGGGCGGGGGCCGGGCCCGGAGGGTCGAAGCCCTGCAGGCCGCCGAGGCGCGGCCCGCGGGGCGGCGGGAGGCTCCCGGAGACGGTCCTGGCCGGGTCGCTGGCCCTCCTGGCGCCGCCGCCCGGCGCGTCCGCGGGCAGCAGGGGGCGGCGGCCCGCGCCGTGCGCGCCCCCGTCGCTGCGCCTCCGCGGAGGGGGCACGGGGGGCAGGGCCGCCGCGGGCTCCCTGGCGTCGCCCAGCAGCGCCATCCTGGTCTTCAGGCTCAGCCTCTCCATGTGCGGCAGCGGCGTGGGCGGCGGCCCGCCCGTGGCCGCCGCGTACTTGGCCTTCAGCCGGTACTGCTGCGCGGGCGTGAGGCCGAGCAGGCCGGGCGGGCCGTCGCCCTGGCTGGCCTCGCTGGACCGGCGGGACGCGTCGGTGGAGATGGGGTCGTACGAGTCGGCCGCGCTGGCGTTCTGGGGCCGGCCCTCGGCCTGCGACGCCTCGCTGGACCTGCGGCTGGAGAAGCACGGGGAGATGCCCGAGGAGCGGCGGCTGCTCAGGTAGGCCGAGCTGACGGTGCTGGCGCTGCTGTCGCGGCGGTTGAGCATGTTCAGCACGGTGACGTCCACGCCGGGCAGCTCGCTTCTGTTCGGGAGCAGGGTCACGGGCCCGCCCAAGCTGCAGCTGGCGCTGGGCTGGGTGCCTGCACACAAAGGGCGGGAGCCGCGGGCTCGGGTCAGGGCGGGCCACGCAGACGGGGAAGCCGGCCCACCCCAGCCTAAAGCAGTAAAGTCTCCCTGGAGCAGTGAAACGGCTTCAGGGGGGTAAGTCCAGGGGAAAACGAAGGGCCCCGCGATGAATACAGTGCCCGGGTTCCAGGCAAGGCCAAGGGCATTCCAGGAGTGTCCTATGGACCTCAGGCCTTCCTGACATCCTGAGAGGGATGAGCCTGCCTGAGCTGGTGGGTGGGGAGGTCCCCCCTTTAGGATATGCCCCCCACCCCACCCCGGATTCAGTGCAATCTCAGAAGCAAAACCGGAGGTGGGCCAGCCGGTACAAAAGGCTGCCTGGCTTTCCTTGAACTGGGAAAAATGTCAATCGAGGTGGTTGCCGAACTGGGACACCTGGGCGGCTCTGGCGGTTAAGCGCCTGACTTCAGCTCAGGTCATGATCTCCTGGTTCGTGAGTTGGAGCCCCGCGTCGGGCTCTGTGCTGACAGCTCGGGGCCTGAAGCTGCTTCGGATTCGGTGTCTCTGTCTCTCTGCCCGTCCCCCACTCGCACTCTGTCTCTCTCTCAAAGATAAATAAACATTAAAAAAAAAAAAAAGGGGGGGTGGCTGCTGACCTCCCAGTTGTAGACTGGAAACCAGATGGCAATGCTAACCCGAGATATCTCTGGTGCAGAGATCTCCTCGGCCTGGTCTAACAGCTACAACGTCACCATCAGAAGGGCAGTCACCCACAGTGTTATCATCCTGCATGCTACTTTCCGTTTCGGGATTATCCCCTTCTTACCTGTTTTTAAGATACGGACTCCTCAGGAAGGCAACCTGACACATACACGTGGCGACAGTATAATTTAAGGACGGGGGGGGGGGACATACCGACACACATCAAGCCTGGTTCCTCTCACAGCGGTTGGTACGGAAGAGAACAGACAGAGAGCCCTGAGCTGACATGGGGTAGGACGCGGAACTCACCGTTTCCTATGAGAGGAGAGACCGCAGGGGCTTTGGGGGGTAGAATGGGGTTCAGTCGTGGAAGTATTCCATTCACTTGTTTGAGCCTTTCTAGTTTTACGTGTTGCATCCATTTGGTCCCTGCTGGGTTCCTCCTGGCTTGCAAAGCGAGGGCCGTGGTGGCCGTGGAAATGGTCGAGTCCATGATTGGGGTTTCGTCGATGGCCCCGAGGTCTCCCACACCCCCTCCGTCGGTCAGAGGAAGCTCGAGCCCACTGTTGGAATAGTTGCTGATGGGGGACTGTTGGCTGCTGCATGAAGACTGACCACCAGGGCTTGGCTGAGATGTCTGCTGGGGTCGAGGGGAGAGGAGAGAAACGTCACCGGGACGGAAAAAGGGAAGGGAGCCCAAGATGAGAGCTCATGCAGCCCCAGAGCCGCAGGGAGCTCAGGGGCTGCATGAGAACTAGGGCCGGCGAAGGGAGGCAGCCTCCCTGGGCCACAGACACTGATGGCATGCCGGGCGGATGTGCAGTGGGGGCGACGGGAGGGGGCTGGCTGCACGGGGTGTGACTGGTGCCACATCGGCCGTGGAATCCCGCCCCGGAGGCCAGCTCTGCAGACACACTCCCTCAGGTCCAACCCTGCTTGCACCACTGGACTTTATCCTCTGGGCAAAATACTTCATCTCTCTGAACCTCAGTTTCCTCATCTATACAATGGGGGCATCTTCCTTATGTTAAGGACTGTTGTGGGAACTGTGAGGTCCGGAGAGCACCCAAAGTATAAAAAGACCTGGGAAACATTTACTGATTGGCTCCGAGGGCATCGGCTGTTCTTACTAATCCAGGGGGCTTTGGCCCGGAGGTTCACGCTGCTTAGGTACAGCATTAGGTGGAAGCTGGGTGCCAGCAGCACACGTACCTCCTCTCCGGCGAGACCCTGTCTGAGCTGTTCAAGGCTGGTTCCCCAGTTCTCTGTACCCTCTCCCTCTTCCCGTCCACACTTGACTGCTCTGTAGAACCCCAACCAGGGTTTGGGTCAAGGCAGCTGTGGGAGGCACAGCTTCAATCGCTTAGCTTCTCCTGTACCCAGGAGGCGCGGGGGGGGTGGGGGGGGAGGGGCCAGGAAAGGCTGCAAGTTACAGCCATGTGAGTCTGGGGAGTAATTGAAAGTGCCGGGGCATTCCTTCAGGAGAAGCAGGCAAGCCCAAGCCCAGCCGCATGGGCCGTGCAAGCCAGTTCTGCAATCAGACAGGAACTTGACCTAGTCCACTGGCTCTCAGTCAGGGAGAGGACCCCCCACCCCACCCCATCCTGGAGCTGGAGGGCAGACAGCTCACTGTCCTCAGGTCTGGGGAGCACCTTATACAATGGCCCTCCGGGAGCCGCCTGCTCTATCTAAAATTCCACCGGTGCTCTGGTTGATACACAGCCTAACCACTTCCGTGTCGATAAGAAAAGTGATATTCAGAGAAGTTCAGTGACTGCCCAAAGCCATAAAGTCACCAAGTCAGTGGTGCAAGCGACCAGCCTGGACTCCCAGCCGGGCGCTACTTCCACTCCTCCACAGTGACACTGTGACACGTCCTCTAGCATCACTTTAGAAACTGGAGCCTGGTAGCAGCCGGAAGAGCAAATCCGCCAGGGAGAGAGAAACACACACACACACACACACTCACACACACTCAGTGACAGACACCTACTGTCCCAGGGGGGCCGCACAGCGCCTTCAGGAAGGGGTTTGAGACAGAGGGCTTCTCAGCAGAACCCGCTAGCACTCGCCAACCACAGCACATACACCCAGCAGATGACCACTTTCTAAGTGAGGGCCATGTGACACACGAAGATTGTCCCGGGCAACCAAGCAGTGCAAAGTAAGACATACAAAGGGGACCACGGGCTCGTGAAGCCTTGCTGAGTTCTGCTTCAGCAGACGCTCGGGAGTGCCCGGCCACCTGCTCCTCCCCAAGGTACTTGGAGCATCCAGAGTTCTGTTCCTCCTGGACTGTGCACTCAGGGCGCGTGCGCGTGAATCTGTGTGGATGGGTACGTACACACGCACCGCAGACTCGCCTCCACAGGGCACGGGAGGAGACACAAATGAGCTTGTACCGGGAGCTGCTCAGAGGAGCGCAGATATTTAAATATACATTAACTTGCTCACAGCGAATGTATACAGATCGTCCTCAAAGAGGGAGGTACCTGTCTGGTACCAAGAATGAATTTACATGTGTCAATCTGATAATTAAATAGTCTTTGAGAACATCTGCTTGGTCGGCCCCGGTGTGATTTATTATGAACGCCTAGACAAATACAACAATGCGTTTCACCATCTAACTCCACATTTCCACGTGCTGAACGTTCAAAACACATTGCTTCTATGTTTGAAACAGATCCGAATAAATGGTCACTACCAAAGATATCACAAAGCACACAAAAAAAAGAAAGAAAAATGGAACGCATAAAAGTTCAATGTTAAAATGAACACAAGCAAAAAGGGTGGAGAAGCCAAAATTCCCTCACCTTATTACCCACTGTCCTTAGGAAGTGAGAACAAGACATTTAGGAGCATTACACAGAAGAGATGTGGAGTTAATAAGAAAAAAAGAAGAAAGAATTTAATTCATAGCATGATGATCAAAGACAAGTTTATAAAGAAAGAACATTAGAAATTAAATCTCATATGCATTAGTAAACGTCTGTAAAGGTGGCTGCTTCTATTTGCATGTGTATGTACGTATTTATGCACAATAGCCCTTGGTAGGAAATTTGATTTTTTAGCCTTACCTATAAATTATAACACGGAGCTTCGTCTCGATCTCTATGAACCCTTCCAGCCCATGTTTCTATGATTTAATTACTTTATAAAATAGTCCACATCTTGGGGCATCTCAGATGTCACTGAGCCAAATAACTATAAGTTCCCATTTCTACCAATTTTCTGTTTAAATAATGGGTGTTTGGAGGGGAGATGACAAGTTTTCTTGAGCTAGGGATGTACATTAAAGGGACGAGAGGCTCTGGGTCCTTAGGATGTCCCAAGAACATAAATCATTGTCTCTCGATGACATAATCTAGGAGACTACAGATCCATTTTCCTTGTTTCATTAAACACTTGAGTATAAACTGTTGAATGTGCTGCACATTGTACATACAGGTGGACTTTCTTTTAGCAAATTGATATGTGGTCCCGAAAAAAAAAAGTACATAAAACACCACTTGCGAACTGATTAATTTTTAAAGTATAGTGATGAGTCACAATACATACATCAACTTTTGACTAAGGTGCTTTTGCTTTCTCTTTTCTGACTAAGGTGCTTTTTCAAAGCAAAATACAGCTACCCACTGGGAGCTAATGATAAATCTGCAGAGTTTATTTGTATTAGTTTTGGCTAGACTTCATGTCGCTTTCTAAAACTTGTAAGACAAACTCAGAAAGTCACTAAAGTCCAATCAGTCTTTAAATTCCACTCCGTCAACCCTGGTATTGAATGCGCATTCTTTCTTACCCATACACACTGCTGCGTGGTGAGGTCACTCAGGAATTTACAGGATGTCCACGCAATTGCTGGACTTTCCTCATTTTAAGAAAATACTTCCTTAAGCTGAGTATACATATGCCTGCCTGACCACTTCCAGGCTTCTGGAAACCTAAGCACATGGCATACCTGGTACCTTTCCCGGTACCAGGAAATCGACCTGGTACATTTCCTCCGTATGTGGAGAGTGCCAGACCAGAACCCGACCCATTCCCAGAGCTGCCTCCGTTAGATGCACTGCCAATACAAATGTACTGAACCTCCTCAGATAGCTACCCTTTTCATTTTTCTTGTCTTCTGAAAAGTTTTAGATGTTTTAGTGCGGCACATACATAAAGAAAAATCACTAACAGAAGTTGGTGAGAAGCTGTAATAGCAGCATGAGGCATCCATCAGTCTGGTGGCTGATAAGTCACCAAACCAGAATGAGTTTTCCCAGTGACATCTTTCAAATGCCTCCCTTGCCCTCCGCCTCCTCGGTTCAGGTTTGACAGCAGAAATGGTCTCCGGTCTATCAAGCCAATCCCTAGCATGGAACTTGAGCTGGCTTTTCTAAAAAACCCAGCTGGGCCAAGTCATTCCCCATCACCAGGAAACTCTAACCCTTCTTATCCTTACTCGGTTTTACTTCTGCACATCTTCCGAGGGCTCCACGGCTCCTATGGCCCTGCCCCCTCCCCTCTCTAAGTGCTGAACTTGAGGGCCACCACCTCGGCCTCGCCAGGCACATCCTCAGGTGTGCTGGTCATTTGTTCCCCTTACATGCTCTTATGCAGACCTGTGTTAAAGACCCGCCACATGGAGTTATATTTGCCTAGTGGCAGTCTGTCTATCCCGCCTAAAGCCCAGGGACCACCACTTATTTATCTCAGGGTCACCAGAGCAAAGCACAAAGCAAAAAACATGTTTCCAGAAAGAATGGATGATTTTCTGCATCGCGGGCATGCTGAAAATGTCTACAGTTGTGCCTTTCTACCTGCCCCAAAGTGGTGCGGCTCCAGACTGACCTAGCAAACTGGTTAGCAAACCTTGACGCTCTTTTCTGAGCTAGTCTACACTGATTCACCTTGAGTAAGGAACCCAGGTCTCTGAGCTCCTGACCTCCTCACAGTGCAGGCAGGACCCGGGCAGTCTGGTCCCTCCTAATGCCCTCGCTGGCTTCTGAAACTGACCCAGGCTTGACATCGAGCGGAAGGAAAGTGAATGACATACCATGGGCTTCTCTGCCTTGACTGCTTTCACTTGAAGGCATTCTTCCCGCTTTGAGGTAGTGCTGCTGAGGTCCTTCTGCTCACCGAGGGCTCCCTGAGTCTGCCGGCCGGGTGACCTGGACTGCGAGTGGCTGCTGGAATCTCGCGGTGGGGGGGGCCGAGGATGTATGTCTCCACGTTGCTTCTTGGTGACGTGCGCCTCTGGGCCATGCACTGTCTTCACATGCTTCCGGAGGGAACTGGGGTCTGTGTAGCGCTTAGTGCAGCCCGGGATTTTGCACACATATGGTTTCTGCCGAAAGCCACATGGAATGAAACAAGAGACGGTTATCAAAGTGACCGTGCCCCAGCCCTACAGTCTCGTGGATGCGCACTGTCTCTTGAGTTCCTTCAACAGCACTGCCACAAAGCTGTGAGGCGTTCAAATACCTCTACGCACAAAGTGTTTAATAAAGGCCATCTGAATACCGGTCAGTGAATCTAGCTTTAATAGACAATTATTTTAGAGAGTGCTCAAGGACAGCTATGGGTGTGTAAACTGCCTGCATGTTCTTGGAAACATTTATCCTGAGAGGAGGAAGAAGTATCCTGTGTCAGGGCAGCTACTCCGAGCTGTCAGCACAGAGCCTGACACGGGGCTTGAACCCACGAACTGTGAGATCATGACCTGAGCTGAAGTCGGATGTTTAACCGACTGAGCCACCCAGGTGGCCCTGTGTGAAGGAATTCCTTAGGGATGTCCTGGTTCCCAGACCAAAGAAGTCACTACCGCCTTTGTGGAAATGTGTTCTCTGTACACAGGCATGATTTTAAAAACATGGCCAACCCCCTATTCAATGTTAGGGATACTAAAATACGTCTGTTTGGGTAGCATTAGCACTGTCTGGGATGGCCAGGGCTCTGAATATTCAGAACCTTTCTGATTTTGAAAGTTCTAAAGCCCTATTAGACCATCTCTGACTGCTCGCTCACAGACTGAGAAGGGCTGATGGATGGTGTCGTGGAAATGAGGGCTCTCGGTCTAGTCTCTGCTCTTGAACACTAAGGCCTGTGAATTATTTCATTTCCTTCGTGGGCCAGTGATCAAACCTACAAATGCAGTCATTAAAAAGTCTGTGGATGCTTATCGCTAAATGATGTACTCAAATCACAGAATCGTTGTCACGGACTCATGACCAACATCAGAACTGAGATTTTGTTTACCTGGCTTGAAATATAATATATTCATGAATGCTTATATGAGTAGATATCTATGTATACCAGACGATGAGCTATTAGGTGAGCGATAGTCATAAAAAGCATGATTAATATAATGTACCCATTATATTAAAAAAAAGATGTCCCGTCTTATAGAATGTATGTGCCTAAAAGATGCTTTTTCACTAAAAGCCCAGGAACAGACTGAGTGCTACATAAAACGATGAAATGTCCTAATGTAGTAAAGTGAAGACTCCGAAAATTATCCCGAGAGACTTCACCTCCAAATTTGCGATTCTTTGGGGTAGAATTGATTCCCATTAACTAGGAATTACTTCTATTCAGAGGCTTGTGTGATTTGCAGCATATATATAATGAAACCAGCACATGAAATTCTATGCATTAGGGACAGAAGAATGGCTCCAGCGATCAGGGCTATTACCTTACAGTGTTCTGACATCCGCCCCGTGGCTGCTCACCGCACCGCCGTGACAAGCTGTTCCATCAGTGGGGACACGGGGATGTATGGTGCAGGTGCAGGGAGGGGGCGGGGGCGGGGAGCACACAGCCAGGCCAGCACTGTAGTCTGAGGAGCTCCTGCCCCCATAAATATACGCAGGTGTATACTACGCGTTAGCTTCGGAAGGAGGACACAGCTAGAGGTGTCCAGCACCGACAAGTACAGGTGGACCCATGTGCCCTTGCGTGTGAGCCCACACGTTATCCACTTACAAAAACCCGCCAGAACACAGGTTCAGGAAACCTACGCGCTACGACAAAACACATTAACCCAATGATGTAGCTTGGCCTCCAAATTCAGTTGTGATCAGTGGCTGAGATGAAACAGAACCGTAGGTGCAGATAAATGTTGCCAGTCACACGGTCCTAGATACTCAACTTTTAATTTTTTAACTTCTTTTAATGTTTATTTATTTAGAGAGAGAGAGAGAGAGCGAGCGATGTGGGGCTCAAACTCATGGACCATGAGATCATGACCTGAGCCAAAGTTGACACTTAACTGACTGAGCCACCCAGGTGCCCCTAGGTATTCAACTTCTGCTTGGTTGTCTTCTTTTTGACTCACTGACCTGAAGGTACTCTGTGAAAGCCATAGATACCTTGTTTTACTTGACTTTATAGAATTTATCCAACTAGAGTTTTCAATAAACATTTAATGATGCCTACTATATCCAAGGCTCTGTGAACACAAAGTTATATACCACAGGATTTAATGTCGGGGATATAAAATACCCCCAATATAAAATAGGCAGGAAAAAAATGACACTACGTAATGATCACTAGTACAAACTTTAAATGTTACAGAACGATGTGGACACAGGGGAATCATCTTTCAGTTGGGACGACTGGAGGAGGCATCAGTTATTAAGTTTTTACATCTGGGTAGAATGTCCAGCTCACTGGGTCATGGTAAGGGTTAAACAGGACAACATACATGGAACGCTCACCCTGATGTGTTGCACACAGTGATTACTCAATGAACAGAATTTTATTAGGAGGAGGCACTGCAGCTGGGTCCTGAAAGAAGAACAAGATTCTGAGGGATAAAAATGAGGGAAGGGGATGCGAAAGAAAAGCCAAAGTCTAAGGGCGCCTGGGTGGCTTAGTCGGTTAAGCGTCCGACTTTCGCTTAGGTCAGGATCTCGCGGTTCGTGGGTTCGAGCCCCACGTCGGGCTCTGTGCTGACTGCCAGCTCAGAGCCTGGAGCCTGTTTCAGTCTGTGACTCCCTCTCTCTCTGACCCTCCCCTGCTCATGCTGTCTCACTCTCTCTCCTAGAAATAAATTAAAAAAAAAAAAAAAAAAAAAAAAAGCCAAAGTCTAGAGGCAGGACCCCTTGACGCACGTGGGCATGGCTGTTCAGTGCCATTCATGGCCACATAGGTAAGAGGTCAAGCCTGGAAAGGCCAGCCTTGCGCTGTGACAGCAGGTACAAGCCTAAGGAGGCTAAACCTCCCCTAAAGGAAAGAAGGAGCCATTGGAACTTTCTGGAGAGGGAGATACAACCGAGTCAGAGCTCAAGGAAACTTGCTTAGTGTGGCTTTGGGAGGACATACGCTGTGTGGTCTGGAGGATGGGTCCCTGGCAGAGGCCCCTGCTGTGGCCCCTAATGGGTGAGGCAGCCTAGGGGTGGGTGGGGAGTGCTCGACTGGCTTCTAGCCCAGGGTATTCTGTGCCGAATCTGGAGACAGCAAGGCGCATGCCACATAACTAGCTCTCCATATTTGTTGAGCCAATGGATAAAAGTACAAATAAGAGAGCAAATAAGTGAAAGAAGATACTTAGGTTAATCTAGGAGTGTCTCATGACATGAATCTAGACTTCCTGGCCAAACTTAATTTTGGTGGATGTGAAACTGTCCATCATTTGTACGGAAGGCCAAAGCCTTGCATGGTCAAGGCTGTTCATTTATTTTAGATAAACTGTCCCACCTGGTGAAAGAGACAACTGACCAAGCTCTCTCTGAATTTCCTAATGGATAAACTCTCATACAGCATTGCACTTCCACCTCACAGAAGTATACAGGCTTAGCTCTAATGCATGTAAGCAAAGTAAACAGCTGTGCACATATTCTGGTCCATAAGGAAGATAAAAAGCTGAGTATGTATGTTTGTATGTGTGCACCACTAAGCCTAACACACTCACTGCCCAAACTTCTCTATAAGAATGGCAGGGGGTGGGGGGGGGAGGCTGGGCCTAAAGTCTATAGGAATGAATGCCATCTAAATTTCTAATCATAATTGTGCTGACATCTGTGGAATGCAGTTAAGTATATCAATTTAATTCTAACTTAATCGCATCCCCTAGAACAGTTTAAACTGACGTATAATTCACACACCATAAAAAAGAACCCTTTGAAATTGCACAACGCAGTGGCATTTAGGACATCCGCAATCTTGTGCAACTGTCACTACGATCAATCAGATTCCATGATATTTTCATCATCTCCCAAAGGAATCCTTACCTATTAGAAGTCACCCTATGCCCTTCCCCTCAGCCTCTGGCAACCACTAATCTGTGTTCTGTCTCTACAGATTTGTCTAGACTCCCTAGAACTTTGCACAAAACAAGTACAGCAGATGATACCACAAGCAGTGCACGTAGTAAAAGCATTGTTTTAAATTATTTTATTTAAAAATATTTTTTCTTTATTTTTGAGAGAAAGAGACAGAGCGTGAGTGGGAGAGGGGCAGAGAGAGAGGGAGACACAGAATCGGAAGCAGGCTCCGGGCTCAGAGCCTGATGTGGGTCTCAAACCCACAAACCATGAGATCATGACCCAAGATGAAGTCGGATGCTTGACTACCTGAGCCACCCAGGTGCCCCTGTAAAAACATTTTTTACATGAAAAAAATGGATATGTGGCATCTCCTCTTAAGCATCCTCAAACAACTGATTAATAATGAGATTCCAAGTGATGCAGGTCTCCTCAGCCCACCATGACCCTTTCAAAAGGAGTCTGTACATGTGAGCCTGTACGTATGAGCTTTAGTGTGAGTGTGTTTTTAAGAAAGTGTGAGGGGCGTCTGGGTGGCTCAGCCGGTTAAGCGTATGACTCTTGATTTCTGCTCAGGTCATGATCTCACGGTTCATGGGTTCAAGCCCTGCAGTGGGCTCTGTGCTGACAGTTCAGAGCCTGCTTAAGATGCTCTCTCTCTCTCTCTCTCTTTCTCTCTGCCCTTTCCCTGCTCGTACTCCTTTTCTCTCTCTCTCTCTCAAAATAAACAAATAAACTTAAAAAAATGTGGTTAATCCCTGTAGAGATGTTTTTACTCTGTCCCTTAAGCTGATGGGACACTTGGAAAGAACCTTAAAGCCAAAGGTCCCTGAGCTGCTAATAAGCAAGGTCAAAAGCTCCTTCTCTCACACACTGCAAACAAACCAGTGACATGCTTAGTCGGGCAGAACTATGTCTCATGTTAACAAATCCTGGCTTGCTATCCGTTTTTACCCAAACGTGAAGAGTTTTGTTCATCTCTGCATTCGTTCAAAAGAAGGCATCACAGAGGAGTCAGAACTTGAGTTAGACCTTCAAACAGAAGCTGGAGGCCAGCAGACACACATGCATTAAAACATAGGCAAAAGGGGCGCCTGGGTGGCTCAGTCGGTTAAGCGTCTGACTTTGGCTCAGGTCATGATCTCACGGCTTGTGGGTTCAAGCCCTGTGTCAGGCTCCATGCTGGCAGTCAGAGCCTGGAGCCTGCTTTAGATTCTGTGTCTCCGTCTCTCTCTGCCCCTCCCCTGCTTGTGCTCTCTTTCTCTCTCTCTCAAAAAATGAAAAAAAAATTTAAAAAATTGTAAGCAGAATAATTTGGAAATATTTTCATTCTTAATCTGTGACATTTTGGGGGGTATAAGTACCCACAAATGACGACAACATAGTGGGAACTCCCCATTAACCGTGACGCCTTTATTCAGTAGGCTTAGATGACTAGTCAGCAACCATTCTGGCTTGCTGAGAGGAGCTCTCCCAAGATCCTCTGGAACTGAGAATGTCTGGAAATCCTGTTTAGCCAAGGCCGGCAGCCCTGTGCAAGTCTTTCTGGATGTAACACATTTAAGGGTACCACCTGGAGAAAGCACACGAAAGTGGCTGTCTTGGCAGTAAGCTGTCAGCTGTCAGCACACTGCTTCTGATCTATCCGGGGCGCTTACAGGGTCGTCCCCTGCGTGGATCCAGGCTATTCCAGGGGGAGCGAGTGGCTGAAACGCCACGGTTAACTGCACCGACTGTTTGACCAGTAGGTGGCATTTCTGAACAACGTGAGACTTGTCAGGGGTTTGAGGTTCCCTCCGGATCCTCATTCCACGGCCAACCAGACTCCCTCTAGGCCCCTACCCCTGAGGCCCCGCCACCTGCAGCGGCAGCCAGTGCAGGCTCCTGCGGGGGGCGGGGGGGGGGGTGGCCGCCAGGAAATCAGACGGCACGGGCCTCCCCTCGGCGCACTGCCCACGAGGGGTCTTTGTTTGCACCACGAGCTCTGGGCCCCAAGAGTGTCTCATGGAGGAGCCTCACCTCATTGGAATGCGTCCTGTTTTGGTGCTTGGCGCGATCGGAGGCGTTCGAGAAAGCCTTGTTGCAACCTTCGTGCTCACAGACGTACGGCTTCTCTCCAGTGTGGGATCTCAAGTGTGTTTTCAAGTTTTCTAGTCTCGAGTAGGCCTTTGTGCAACCTTCAAACTGAGGACAACAGGTCAACCTGCGTTACTCCACACGGTCCCGGCTGATGCCCAGCGCTCCCTTGGAGCGGATGAAAGACGGACGGCTGGAGGGTCAGCAGCTTTTCAAAACCCAGGAACAAAAGTCCACTAAACTCTGCATTTATTGGGATTCAGATGGGGTTCGGTGCAGTTCAAGAGACCGCATTTTCAGGGCTAGTAAAAGTCCTGGAGGTCTTTTTTTTTTTTTTTCTTTAATAGACCACTCAATGCACACAATGGGTTTCATTATCTGGTCACTGATCTCCTCAAATTCCCACTGATTTTAGATTCGGCACAAAGTTCACTAATATGGCTTTGTGTGCATAAAAAGGCATGGAATTTGATCATGTTTGTAAAGGGCCTTTCAGATGGAAAGTGCAGGGCTGAGCAGTGCCCAAGTGTCCGGCAGCATCTCAGGGAAAGAGACGGAATCCCAGCCACCCTGCGGGTTGATACTGGGCCGTGGGGACAGATTAGGAGGGCAAAGCAAAACTCTGAAGTCATCTGGGTTATATTTTTAAAGATGAACTTAAGTGTTTCCTCCAGCGTGACGGGCATTTGTGCGGGGGCCGGCGTGGTGGCCACAGGCTCATTCCCAGTGCCCGCCAGGGGGACCCTGCCGCTGCCCATCTGCTTGCCGCTCTGCACAAACATGCTAGCTGCTTGCCACCGGGGCTGACTTTATATTTACCGGTTTTAAATTAAGTTAAATTAAGGGGCACCTGGGTGGCTCAGTCGGTTAAGCGTCCAACTTCAGCTTAGGTCATGAGCTCATGGTCGGTGACTTGGAGCCCTGCGTCAGGTTCTGTGCTGACAGCTCAGGGCCTGGAGCCCGCTTTGGATTCTGTGTCTCCCTCTCTCTCTCTGCCCCTCCCCAACTCCCTCTCAAAAAGAAACATTAAAAAATTTTTTAAAAAAATTTAAATTAGGAAATAATCAGTTCCTTGCTCTGGACAAGTCTCATGAGTACCCAAGAGGCACACATAGCTCATGGCCACCTTGTTGGACACTGCAGACTGCGCTACTGTCCCCCAAAATGTGGCTATCACTCTCTACTTCTGGTGCTCACCCCATTTTGGAAGCCCTTCCCAGAACTGCCGGCATTCATCGCAGACCTCAGTCCTCCAGCCGCCCAGCCGCCCAGCCGCACCCCCTCAGCTGGGTTCACAGCATGCAGAGGCCCATGGTGACCCTGAGCCCCAACCTGACACGCGCTGGTGCCAGATGGCTCCAAGTCCGCAGCCCGCGCAGCACACTCACAGTGCATTTGTGAGGCTTCTCCCCCGTGTGTCTCCTCATGTGCACCACCAGCATGTACTGGGCTTTGAAGGGCTTCTGCTCTCTCGAGCAATCCAACCACCGGCACACGAATTCCTTCTTCTCGCCGTGAATATGGTCGTTATTTATATGCTGGGGGTTGGAAAAGAAGAAAGGGTGAGAGCAGTGCGGGACTCCTTTCTGAAGGCTGCAGAAGGGAGGGCTAAAGTGCCCCCACCGTAGGTCCTAAGGAGCACAGGACACCTCCATTTACAAGTCATTTTGTTTCAGTTCATATGTTTCTTGAATAAATCTGCTCTAACTGTGCACGCCTAGTTCCTAACTAACAGGAGTCGCACTATGCGGAGGAAGCCTGGGATCCCAGAAAAACCTCTGAAGGGGGAGTGAAATGAGGTGAGCCCGCACATCCTCCTGGGCGTCTGCAAAGTGAGGGTCACGGTCGACAGAGCGCGGGGTACTCCCCAGCCTGCGTACGCTCCGGGCCCCAGCTTAGAGCTGTGGCTGAGACTGCAGAGAACAGAACACGAGCACGTGTGCGTGTGCACACACCTAATTCTGCAATAAGGACCAGCAAAAAACCAAAGCACCTTTTCAAATGACACACTAGTTCCAATTTGTGTTGTTTCCCCCCCTGGGTAATAATCACCGACAAATGAACCAGATACTGAAGAGAACCAGGGAGCCCCAAAATGCTTTAGTCTCAGGATCTTAGCCTTCCTCGCGTAGAAAATACAGGGTTGGCTTCGCTAGGCTCTAAGGTTCTTTCCAGCTCTATATAATTCTATTAACTTGAATTTCAATATGAAGACAAATTTCCCTGAATTTCTTATCAATTCAGAGTTCTTGAATCATTTTTGTATGCTCCCTGGGTTCACGCGCCAAGTCCCCGACAGAGGGAAGACCCAGGAAACCTAAGGAAGCACCAGAGGAAGAGAAAGTTCTCAACTTGGATGCCACTTCAACCAATTTAAATAAGATTTGTGATTTAAATGTCCAGCGATGGGTTCGTGAGGAATTCTGTGTCCTGGGTGGAGCCCGTTGCTTTTAGTCTCTGGTCACCCCACGCTCCTGCGAGCCTGTTCAGACACATCCATGGAAACCCCCCTGCAAATGAAATCTGCTCAATGAAAGAAAGCTCCCTTTGGGTCCCACGCATGGCGTGCTAATGACAGAACATTTAATTACTTTCTTGTTTAGTTAGACTCTGGCTCCTGAGTGAGCGGCCTCTGGGGGGCCCTGAGGGCAAGATCCCAGCCTCTGTCAGCCTCTCTCCGTTCCTCCAGGAGGCAGCCACTGCTCCAGGACCAAGTGACATGCGTCCCGCTCTCTGGAGTTGAAACATGGGTGCGAGCAGAGAATGGCAGGTGCTGCGCACTCTCCGCTCCTCGAGCAGCTCTCAGAAAGCTGGGGGGACAGAGGCGAGTGGGTGACTGAGCAGAGCACAGCGGGAGACAACCGGGGTCCTCTCAGAAGCGCTGCAAGCCACGAGGAAACCACACGGAATCACTTGGGCTCCCAAGGGTACAGCACCCCAGGACACACAGACGTGGGGGTCCTATGAAAAGCCAACTATCCAAAGTACTAGCATTTCTGAAAAGTCATGCATATGAGGGTATGAGGAAAACAGAGGTGCTGGACAGGGGACAACATGCAATCTTCAATTTATGCTGCAAGGGCATCTCTGGCCCGCACCTATCAGCCCGGACGGTCCCATGGTCCGGCGGCGCCCAGCCTGTGAGCCCACGGAACAAACTCTTCTTTCCAGGGGAAACAGCTGCCGATCCCACAAATCCCTTCCACAAACACTGCTCTGGGTTCACCTTCCCCCAAGTTTCTAGAAACAAGCTACCTGGGTTGATATACATGAAAAAGGAGAAAGGAGAGAAAGGAGGAAGGAGGGGGCAGGCTGAGCTCAAAGCTGAATTAGAACCAGGGCTGGGCCTCCCCCTGGAAGGCAGGACCCACATCTTTCAGCTGCTAATTCTCAGCAACTGATCAGTGTCCGTGGCATCTGGCAGGTCCTCAGTAAATATCTGCTGAATTGATTTGGACTCATGTGCAAACTGAACTTTCGCTGGACAAAAGAGCTTGAACTTGATGCTTCTGCTGATCTTAACTCAGCTTCATTTCACCTCATGTCCACACAACATGATTGCAACGTAAACGGTTCTATTACTTTAAGATAATACACTCTCAAGAATTCAAAAGGATTTGAATGCTATCCAGCATGAGCTCCACCTTGCGGGGAGGGGGGCGGGGGGAGTGAGGGAACACGAGGTGAGTTCACTCTCTTTACTCTGCACGCACACCTCCTGGAGAGAATGGAGTGCTTGTTATCCAAGACCCAGCTCTCCTAGGGAAATGTGTGGGACTACCTGAGCATGAGCTGGAAAATCCAGAATTTTCTGAGTGGATGTTGCATTTAAGCCAAGTGTCAAGTTTTCTAGAAACACGCTTTCTCATCAGTTAACAAATGCTTCCTGTACGATCTGCCATCGCAACGTTTCATCCGTCTCTCATGCACTGACTCGCGCTGTGTACTGGGGTCCACTCCACACCAGGCCTTGTGCTGGGGAAGCAGACAGACCTGCTTCCTGCCCTGAGGAAATGACAGTCTACCGGAGCCAAGCAGATAATGGCTTAAATTACCATATAATTACAGTTGTGATCAGTGTTATGAAAGGAAATAAGAGGGTTTTCTAAAAATAATTAACAGGGGGTCTCAGCTCTGTCCCTGAAGAGCAAGGTGAGCTTCCTCAGTGAAGTGGCAGGAGCTGAGCGATGGGCAGACACCAGCCAGGTGTGCAGATCGGGAAGCGTGTGGGGAGAAAGGGTCAGCACGGCAGAGAAGTGAGACCGGGGGGGGGGGGGGGGGGGGGGGGGGGGGGGGGGCTGAACCTGGTGCCTTTGAGGAACGGCGTGAGGAACATGTGTGGCAGGAGGGGATGGGTCTAGCGGACACAGGCTTCCGGCACTGCCACCGTGCGGTGCAGAGAGACGGCACGCGTCTCCATGGGCTGGGCAGACGCCGCCGAGGTAGGCAAGCTTGGGCCCCCCTGGGACGCAGAGCGCTGGGTCAGATCACCAGCAGCAAGGCTGCAGGAGACAACCTTGGACAGAACTCCCGTCTAGAGAGCAGCACTTGGATGCCTGTCTCCAAGGACGGAGTACCAAGGTTAACTGGCCTCACTCGGGGTCAGGCTCCGGGGCGGGGCGAGGGGGGGCGGGCAGAGGACTGGAATGACCCACAGGGGAGGTGCCAAGGGGAGCCAGTGAGGTCAGAGACTCTGGAGGAGAGGGAAGGGGTCTGCTCCTCTGGGTGAGGTGACTGAGGAGAAGCCAACACCCCAGCAGCCCCCTCAAGTGCATGCCAAGCGACGGAAGGCTCTGAAGGAGAGGTTTAAACCAGATGGCTGGGAAGTCATAGCAGCTGTCTACCAAGGTATGGGGGGGGGGCATTGCTAAGCTGGCGGGGAGAATGGGCAAGGAGCTGGCGAGCACAGTGAAAAGGATCCTCTTCATATTTATATCTCATTAACTCTCATTGATCTTGGCCTCTGGGATGATGTCTAAAAATTCCAGCGCCCGGACCCCATGGAGATCAGCCAGTGGGTCCCCACGTGGGAAGGGACACAGAAGAATCTGCATTAGGTAGTAGGAGCGACCTCACTTTGCCAAAGCTTAGCATCCTGGGGATTTTCCTTCTTGGTCCCTGTACAGGAGACCTGAGTTCTGTCTAATATGCTTTTATACTTTTCTGAATCTGCTCTTGAGTACAAATTTGGATTGGGACCACAAGTTATTTTTCTTGAAATGAGATTCTACCACCTCAGCCAGTAGGACCCAGGTCCAAGTGCTGAGTACAGGACGTAATCAGTTAGTCTACAAATACGGACACACCCTTCTGCCTACCTGGGCAGTCCAAGTGCATTTTAAGCTTAACACATTTCCTGGCTCTAGATTTCAAGTGAAAATTACAATTCTAAGAAATCACAGGTTTTACATGTCCATGGGTCCTAAATATTTACTTTTCTTTCCCAAGATGCGTTGGGCTTTGCCGCGAGTGGCCATGGGAGGGCTCAACTTAGGGCGGACCCGACGCTACAGTGGGAAGAGTATGGGGTGGGCATCGGAAGATGCCCCCAGACCAACTTCTGATGAGCTGTGTACCTTTGGACAGCTCGATTCTCCCACTTGAAGCTTGATTTTCTTATCTGTTAAATGTGGGTGATGAACTAGAGATCAGGTGTCGGCAGACATTTTCTGTAAAAAGCCAGACAGGATCTATTGTAGGCTTTGCTGGCCAGAAGTTTGTGGGTACTCAAACTCTGTAGCTGTTTTAGGGGAATGGCTGTAGACAACGTGTAAGTGAACAGGTACAGCTGTTTATCCTTGACACTGAACGTTTCACACATCAAGAAATATTCTTAAAATTTCTTTTTAAGAGGTGCCTGGGTGGCTCAGTTGGTTGAATGTCTCACTTTGGCTCAGATCATGGTCTCATGGTTCATAAGTTTGAGCCCCACATCGGGCTTGCTGCTGTCAGCACAGAGCCCTTTTCAGATCCTCTGTCTCCCGCCCTTCTCCCACCTCTCTGTTCCGCCCCTGTTTGTGCTCTTGATCTCAAAAATAAATAAAACATTAAAAATATTTCTTCAAGCATTTAAAACTGCAAAAACCATTCTTAGCTCACAGGCTGTGCAAAATCAAGCAGTGGGCCAGACCCCACCCATGGGCCATTGGTCTGCTCACCTCTGATTAGGTGCTTTCAAATTCTTCCTTGGACTAGCAGAGCCCCTGGCATTCTTTTATTATTCTTTTTAAAGTTTTCTTTATTTTGGGAGAGAGTGAGTATGAGCAGGGGAGGGGCAGGGAGAGGGAGAGCGAGAATCCCAAGCAGGGTCCATGCTGTCAATGCAGAGCCCAATGCGGGGATTGAACTTACGACCCGTGAGATCATGACCTAAGCTGAAATCAGGAGTCAGACACTTAAATAAGTGAGCCACCCAGGCGCCCCAGAGCCCTGACTTTCTTCGTTAGGCTGGCTCTCAAGCCTGAGAAAGTAAAATTAGAGGGAGGGAGGTTTCAGTGCGAGGGAAAAGAGAAAGCCATGGGAAACAAAAAAGCCAGGG